TACACTAATGATGTTAAAAGCAACATGCAATATAGATAAGAAAAGATAATTATATAAATATAAAAAATGAAGAAATTAAAAAATTAAGCCAAAAAAAAATATTTAGTTGTAAAAGCTGTGTACATAAGTCTAGTACAGAAAATAGTCATAGCTCCCTAGTCCCAACACAAATAATTAAAAAAAAATGCAAAAATATGCATCAAAGGACTACACCTTTTCAAGATTAACATAATGTGCGTTTAACATAATGCCAGCCCTACAAATTATTATTTGCAAGATTTTTAAAAGTACAGTTGTGTTCAAAAACTATTTTGTGTCAAGAAAAATATATTGAGTCACTTTGAAATAAAAAAGTTGAGTAAAAGGGGAGTCATTTCATCCCTCGGCTTCGCGAAAATTACAAATTTTTAAGAGTTGTTATTATATTTTTTCCTAGCCTTTTTTGATCTCACTGAGTGGAAAAGCTTTTTATATTTAAAGTTTTTTTTTAATTAGAATTTTTTAGGCCTTTTCCTTTCATTTCCATTCTCTAATATTTTATTTCTTCAATAAAATAATCTAGAAATTAGGCTATTCGATGCCAATATGATGCGGGGCAAAACGAGACATTCTGTTTGTATTTGTTTTTGCCGATATCTAATATTATGTTTATTTATTTTTTTACATTAAAACAACAACCAAAGCAAATATTAATATTTACATGCTGTAGATTTAAATTTATTATACTGTATTTACTTACTTTTTTGTTAGTTGAAATGTTTAGTTGTTATTCAATATAGAATTACGTTTTATATTTTGTTAACTTATATTTAAATATAATAAATATTTAATCAAATTGAAGCAAATAATTGCCTGATGTTTATAATTACTATGTTTGTATTTTATAATCTTATTGTATTGTAATGTAATAAAGTAAGTAGTATATATTATATATAGTGAGTAGATTATAACATAGATTATTGCAGTACCTATAAACAAAATACAATGAATGTTATGCGTGCTTTAAATACATAAGTTTAATATATGCATGTATGGTTTTATTAGTTCTTGTAGTATATATATATATATATATATATATATATATATATATATATATATATATATATATATATATATATATATATAAGTGGAGTCAATTTCCACAATGCACAACCTGGGCTCATTCGGACTGTTGTTTGTTTCAAAATACTGGTTAAGCAATATGTGATTTATGTGACTAGTGACAGTTTGATTATAGCTGTAATATATTATAAAATGTATTTCTTGCTAATCCTTTTAAAGATATGTTTTTTTTAACTTTATTTATTTAAATTACTAAAAAAAAAAATCTGTCTCATTTTGCCCCGGTATGCAGGGCAAAATGAGACAGGATAGGTGCTGTCAATAAATGATCTCTGGTGACCAAACTACTGCAGTTTTGCAACTCATACTTTTTAGGCTTCAAGTAGGATTGTAGAAGAATTAAAAAATATCAATTTATTTTTTCAAAAGTTGTTAGACGGGCTGTATTAGATATATTAGCGCTTAAGTGTCTCATTTTGCCCCTCGTTACACTAAATAAGAAACAAAACATGTAATTAGGAAATGTAATTGAGAAATCCAACATGTAAATAAAAAATCGCAATATGTAATTAGAAAAATAAAAGTTGTAATTAAGAAATCACAATATGTAAATGAGAATACATTATTTGTAATTGCGAATTCACAATGTAAGCTTAAAGGTCATTATAAGAGATCTTCTTGAACATGCATTTTAATAAGTTAATAATATCAAAAATTTGAATTTGAATTTTAAATTTTTATGTAAATAAATTTTTGTTTTATTTATTATTCATCTGAAATCTTAATTAAATTTTTCACAAACATAAATAAAAGAAAGTTTTAATTGACACCCAATAGGATTTTTCAAGTTACCACCTAAATCTTAAATGCCTTTATCATGACTTTTTATATTTTATTGGTATAATATTTTTATTTCCAACCTTAAATTACAAAGTATACGAGGATTACAAAATTCAAAATACCAAAAACTTTGTATTCTTTATACTTTCCTTAATTACAGCTATCATGTTCTCAATTACATTTTACAATTTCTTATTTATAACTTTGATTTTCTCAATCTGACATTTTTTGATTACAACTTTCATCTTCTCAATTACATCTTACTTTTCTTAATTACAAAATTCATCTTCTCAGTTACATCTTGAAAAGGTGTAGATTGAGCTGTCAAGCCCAAGTGAAATAAGGAAAAAATTAGGAAAAGAGAAAGGATAAAAAATTAAATGAAAAAGACAATTTGAACAGATGTTCAGAGCAAAACAAAGATACTAAAGTAAAGTGTATATTAAAAAAATAATAATGATAATTTAAACATCGTGCATGTAATAGAAATTATAAACTCAGGCTCATAATGGAAAATCATGACCAATGCGCAAAGTCTAAAAAAGTATGAAGCTTAATGTCATATGCTCAGAGCGGGAATTGAACCAGGAACTTATGGTTTATCAGGTTGATATCCTAATTGATCATGCTATAGACGTTGTTGTTGATATACAATAATAAACATAAAAATATAATAAAATCAGCAACAAAATCAAATGAAAATGAAATAAAATAGTATACAAACAAAACATAGATAAAGTAATTAAATAATGTATACACACATACATACTATATATATATATATATATATATATATATATATATATATATATATATATATATATATATATATATATATATATATATATATATATATATATATATATATATATATATATATATATATATATATATGTTTAAAATGACAACATGTTCTTTGAGAGTTTTATTTATTTAATTTTAAACATCAATAAACACAATTTTTCTTAATTCTATACTTTTATTATTTTTAAATTTTTTTTGCTAGATTTATAAAAAAGTTTTGCTTAAAAGTATTATTAAAATATAATTTTTGAAATGTTTAAAGTTTTTAAAAAATCTTATATCTAGTTTCTGTGTTTGGCTTTAAAGATTATAGTGCACCACCATTTGAACTGATTGAACAATGTTGTGTTGATATGGATAATTGGTTGATTAAAGACGTTGAAAATGTTGCAATAGTTCACTGCATAGATGGATTGGTAAACCATAAACTTTATAAAGTTTGATTTAATTTATATGTACTTGATGTTTTGTTGCAAAGAAATGGATAGGATAACTATATTTAAAAAAAAAAAGAAATAGATTGGTACTTTACTTTCATTTATAAAAAAGTAGATATAATAATTAGAGATGTACCAGGTAATTGACTTGATCCTGGTTTTTCGGTGGTTTTTTCCAGGTCCAAGCCAGACAAAAACTGCTAAAATAATCCAAGCTAGGTACCTGATACGTATATATACTGGGTATCTTAGGAAAATGCTTGTATAGAGAGATGATGACTACCCGTCTCACTGGTACCCGGCAGGTACCTGGTTTTTTTCCCAGTTACTTGGGAAATTAAAGTGTCATGTATCTAACTTGATTTATATTCTGAATTTATTGATGTACCAGGTGCCCAGCTTCCCAGCTAGCACACATATGTTGATAAAACGTTAGAACAATGTTATTTGTTGGGTCAGCCCAACATGGGCTGCCAATGTTGGACTGACCCAACAAATGGACTGCCAATGTTGGTTTTATATCATTTTGGTTACAAATGCGACTGCCAATGTTGGTTTTATATCATTTTGGTTACAAATGCGACGTCGCCAACAACCAAAAAATAACTTTGGTTCAACATTGTATTTCAAGTCGGCATTGCATAATGTTTTATGTTGATTCAACGTTGTGTTTTATGTTGGCACAACATTGTATTTTACATCAACAAAACGTTGTATTTTAAGTTGATTCAATGTTATATTTTACATTTGCACAACTTTATATTTACCTTTTATTGGAATTAAATATATTTGTTTTATGTTAAGTATATACATATAAACATAAAATATTATAACTTTATACGCATATATAGTTGTATATGTATATATATAAATTTATGCATACATATTTCCGCCATTTTGATGACGAATTAACATTGCTTATGACATATGTTTATACTTATCATATTGCATTTGATTAAAGAGACATAATTTGTTTGTTTTGCTTGTGGCTTAATATTTCTTCAAAAAAGAGAAAAATATATTGGCAAAATCTACCTATTCTCGATGCAAACCACTGTATAAAATTCAACGTTGTTCCAATGTATATTCCAATGTATGGATCTACAATGATTAAATGTATATACATCAAATCAACTTTGGTTTATACACAGTAGTGTATAATACACAGTAAACACAGTTATACACAGTAGTTTATTGAGTTGATGACGGGTTAATAATATTGGATCAACGTGGGTTTAGGTTGTAAAAAAAAAAATCAAACTTTTGCAATGTTTTTACATACATTCGATAAACGTTGATTTATATATATTGAATATAAGTTGAGTTATACATTGGATTAACGTTGGGTTTAGATCCTAAAAATAATCAACTTTTTGCAATGTTTTTACATTCACTAATTTAATGTTGGTTTATACATATTAAATCAACACCACGTTAATAGCATTGGATCAATGTTGGGTTCATATTGTAAAAACAATCAACTTTTTGCAATGTTTTTACATACGTTGGACCAATGTAAATGTGCCAGCTGTTTTTAGTTCCTCCGGTATTAATTTCATCATTAAATAAATGATATTGGATCAACGTTGGTTTTGCATTGAAAAAAAACAGCAGGCGTTCGCAATGGTTTTACATACCTTGGCCCAACCTAAGTGTGGTAGCTGGGTTGGACCTGGAAAAACTGCAAAAAAACTGGGGCCAAGCTAGGTACCTGTCATATTACTAATAACAAAGTTTTAAATTTTTTAGGGGCGCACAGGCATAATGATATGTGCATATTTATTGTATAAAGGTTACTATGATAATGCAAAAGATGCAATGAATTACTATGCAGTATATCGAACTGAAAACAAAAAAGTTGGTTTTTTAATTTTTTTATTTTTTTTGATAAAGGTATTAATCTGTGATTTTATATATTGTAATTGTAGTGTACATTTTACTCAGTACTCTATACTACTGTAGTTTAGTAAATTATCGTACACTGTACTAATCCTATATATATATATATATATTTTTTAAGATGATAGAAATAAAATAGAAACATGTGTTAGATAAGCTTTGGCTTTATAATAAATAGATCTTTTATCTATTTATTATTAATTTATTGGATTGCTCATTTTTAACAAATGGATGACAGCAAGTCATTTTCGGCAATACATCATCAGGATGGGTATCAGTGTCTAATAGTGTTATCCAAGGATCTTTGCTAGGACCAACTCTATTTGCCATCTTCAAAAGCTCTCCAGATGGCATTAACTCTTGTTGCAAAATGTTTTCGGACAACACTTAACTAAAAGCACCAATCCGGCTAGGAAACAAAGAGCTTGGCACGGTGAAGCTTTCAAGGTGATCTTGACAAAATAACTAATTGGCGCATCACATGTTAAACACTGCTAAATATTAGCAACTCAAAAAAGATGCACATTAGTAAGTAAACAAATCAGCAATATACACTATGCTAGATCCACTATCAGGTGCAAAACAAGACCTAACAACAACAATAGTAGAAAAAGATCTAGAAGTCATAATAAGTTGGGATCTTAGTATAATAGTAAATAAAGCTGCATCAACTGCAAATAAAATTCTAGGTCTATAGAAAATACTTTTATATTGCGAGAACTAACACTATAGAAGAAGTTCTATACAACATGTTAGACCACATTTGCAATATGCACTTGGTCACTATTGACAAAAAAACACTTGAAAAAGTTCAGCGACAAGCCACCAAGATTGGGCGCGCAATGAGACAACATAGCTATTAAAAAAGCCTATCAAACTCAAAATAACTAGTATAAATTTGCGCCAACAAAGAGGGGACCTCATTCAAGAACTCAAAATCGTAAAAAAAAAATTAACAAAGTGAACAAAGAGCCAAGCACTAGCCTAGTACAACTTAGTAAAGAATTAGTCCCCAATAGTCCCAATATTGCAATTTGAAGCAGTTTTTTCACTAACTGAAATGTGAACTGTTTAAAATTGCTACTCAAAAGTACTTTAAACACAGTCAATGTATTTAAGAATGGGCTGGACAACCTCTAGCATAGTTGCTGCCATGACAAATCGGTTACTTCATGTGAGCCAATTGCAACTCCATATGAGCTCACATTGCAGCTTTTTATTACTAACAAATATATATATATATATACAACCCTTGGAATTAGGAAAAGTGAGGTCAGCAATATTTTACTAGGTTGGCAATTTTTTGTTGACCTCAAATACTTTCCGGTTGGCAATTAGGTCAGCATTTATTACTGAATGCCAACCTTAATCCTGAGGGTTGTATATATATATATATATATATATATATATATAATATATATATATATATATATATATATATATATATATATATATATATATATATATATATATATATATATATATATGTATATATATATATATATATATATGTATATATATATATATATATATATATATATATATATATGTATATATATATATATATATATATATATATATATATATATATATATATATATATATATTTATAATGTATATATATAGTTTACTTATATTTTTATTATATAATTTATATATTTTACTTATATACTTATACTTTTTATGTTTACTTATATACTTATATACTTTATGTATATAAGTATATAGTTTATTTATAATGTATATATAGTTTATATATATATAGTTTTCACATTTAGAATAAATTAAAAGATTTTTTTTCAGTAAAAGTTTTTTCAACTATTTATATAAAATAATAATAATAATAAAAATAATGTAAAAATTATTTAACAATTTTATGATGGTTTTAAAACTAATGCATTTTAAAGTGGAAAAACTGTCATCAAAAGAACATGATTATCTTTTTAAATCAAAATCATAAAATATTAAATAAAATATATTTAAAAAAAGCAATTCTTGTCAAACTATTAGATATAGGATATTATCAGAATATATATATATATATATATATATATATATATATATATATATATATATATATATATATATATATATATATATATATATATATATATATATATATATATATATATATACATTTTTTCAATTGAACAATTTACAAGAAATTGAATTAAAACTCAATAAATATACATATATAAATAAAACGTTAGCAAAAAAAAAAAAAAAAAAAAACTTTGTTTTTTAACTAATTAATTATAAAACGTTTATATTAAATAAAGGAATCATTGTTCTTGACTTAATACTTGTCCGTATAAACTCATCTCTTGATTCTGATCTATTTTCTGATTTAACAGCATCAGTTACAAGTTTAACACAGGGTTTAACACTTTGTGTTTGGTTTGGGTAAGCATTAATTGCAAGAGGTACATCAGCAATTGATCGAATCCGTTTAATCATTAATCCGTTTTGATTATAAGTGGTGGTTCTGCGATTTGAACAACATCCCAGTTAATTAGATTGTCATAGTCATTAGCATTTAGACTGATTTCTGGTACATGAAATTTTCTAATCTTAAAGGTTGCCTTTAAAAATTGGTTTCTTCATTTGAGAAGTTTTGTTGAGGTCAGTCATCATTGATAAAATAATGTTTTCAGGATGGCTTTCAGGCAATTGGTTTAATGTAAGGTTTAACAATATTGACAACAAATGGAAGTAAATGTTTCAACAACTGTAAAGCCAGAAACACATGCTTTGATTCATTAAAGACTCAAACTTAATAGCAAACCAACTTGGTTCATAGTGAAGGACGCTAATAATAAAGTTAATAACTGAGTTATTAACTTTAGATTTTGATCCTGATTAATTATGGATATGTAAAGTCTGCAAACTCGATTAGCAAGAGTTAACCACCTACTATGATTTATAGGTTTTTTCTCGGCAATCTTTTTGGTTACTATTCCTACATGAGATCTATCTATAATAGGTTAAAGTTTTATAACTGGCAATTTTTCACATATCTAAATGGCTTTACCGATTGGTCCTGTAATTAAACTTCTTCTCGATGTTGGACCATCTAGTTATATAAACAATTATCTTAATGGGAGTTCATTTCTAATGCTTTCTCCAAGTTTTGTATTACTCCTCTATTTAAATCCAGTGTTTAAATTAGTATCACAACCAACAACTTGTATATTGGAAGATTTATTCATTTTGTTAATTTCTGACAATATACAGTCTGCAATGTCTTTGCTTTTATTAGATTTTGGTAAAAAATGCAATAGATATTTATTTCCAGGTTCTGCAACCAAAACATAGTGCTCTACTTTTTTAGTATCTACATACCATTTATCTACTTCTCTCTCCTGGTTAGTGTGTCATTATTTCTACCATCAAAATATAGAGAAGTAATCTTATTAGTGCATGTATTATCATTTGCTTGAAACTGCTTTTTTGACTTTATCCTCTCTTTTCTTAATTTACTTTTATTAATAACTTTACTTTGGTCTGTATTAATAACAGTACCAAAATCCACCAACACAGCTGTGGCAAGAGAGGCCACAGCACAATTTGAAATACCATACCTGTCAGCCTCCCTTGCTAGATTTGCTAAAGATACCCTCATTTGTTTAATAGTTCCTCAACTTGAAATTTCACTCAACATTTTCACACTTGCATCATCTCTGAATTCGTTGTCATATCGATTGTCATTCTCTGTTTCATCATAACTCAATAATTCAATGTATTCGCCTAAACTGCCTGCTTCTGTTATATCAGCTTTTCTATGTTTTTCAGCACTTTCTCTGTTCTTTAAAGCTAGCTTTCTTTTATTCAGTTCTTTAACTTTTCTGGTAATTTAATGTCAACTCCACCAATGTACATTTTGCATATAGATCTTTGGCCATGTAAGAATTTCAACTCCTTTGTGGAACTTTCTTTTCTCTCACATTTACAATCTGTGGTTATATCTCTAGAAAAATCCTCAACATGGAGTTGGCGCATACAAGAACAAATGTCAAATAACAATGGAAATGTTGCAGTAAACTTTTTTAATTGTACCGTACTTTACTTTGATTGGCTTAAACTAGCTCCTTTATTTATTATGACAGTAAGTCAATATTTAAGTGTTTTAGGCTCTCTATAAAAGTTGCTTACAGAGACATTTTTTTTTACAAAAAGACAATGCTTACTGGGACAAAAAATTAACGGGTACACAAAAATGTCTCCAATAATGCCAATGTCCCTGCAAGTATTCGTTCTTTTGTAAAATCTGTCTGTATATATATATATATATATATATATATATATATATATATATATATATATATATATATTATATATATATATATATATATATATATAGATAGTACATGGCTGATGATTGCCGTATAGGCATGAAACTTTTAGTCCCATGAAAAGTTGTTTTTTCTATATGTAAATAAAAATAAATATATATATATATATACCGCTCTAGTTAAAAAGTTGTTTACTTTCTTTATTATTGAGCACTCTTAACCGAAATAGAGTTTTGTATTACTATTGTAATACAAATTTAACATCAATCGATATTAAATAAGTTTAAATATATATATATATATATATATATATATATTTATATATATATATATATATATATATATATATATATATATATATATATATATATATATATATATATATATATATATATATATATATATATATATATATATATATATATATATATATATATACATATATATCAACATATTTACTATCTATTCTAATATATATCAACTTATTTACTATCTATTATAATATATATCAACATATTTACTATTTATTCTAATATTTGTCAACATGTATACTATCTATTCTAATATATATCAACATATTAACTTACAATTCTAATATATATCAACTTTTTTATTTACTGTCCATTCAATGTATCAACATAATTACTATCAATTCTAATATATATC